ATAAAAAGAATACTTTCATTATAACAGCCAGTTCATGGGACAAAATGTTGTGTAATATAAAATAAACAAAGTATGTTAGGTTAGCTAAAATTTCTCTTTTTTCTCTCCATGAAATTTGTTATAGTAACATCTGAAATTTGTCCTATTCGGTTGTATTAAGATTGACATTTAAGTGTACTTTATCTTATTGACGACCTCGATGGTCTAGCGGTCAAGCACATCGCTTTACGACCGATGGTCGCGGGTTCGATTCCTCGCATGGCACAAACATTTGTATTCATAAGTATGATTGTTTGTATCGGTCTGGGTGTTTTCTATGTATAATATGTATGTATTTACAAAAAAAACATATATCTATATATATGTATCAGTTATCTAGTACCCATAACACAAGTTTTAGCTAGCTTAACGTGGGTCTATATGGCACTGTGTGAATTGTCCTGAGTTTATTATTATTATATAATATATTTATTTCCATAGATAAAATATTATTTGCGATCTGTCATTATTTTGATAAAAAAAAAAAAAAACGATATTGATATACATTTATAAAGGACTTTAGACGATACTTTCAATGCTGTTTACTAGCTGTTACTCGCGACTTCGATTGCAAAATATTTCATCCCCTATTACATCCCTTCCAGGATATTTTTCGAGATAAACGTTTTCTTACGTCGATTTTCATCATGATACGGTCTATGTTCACGCCTAATTTCTTTAAGACCCATTTAGTCATGAACATGTGACAAACAGACAATCTGACACTTTTGCTTTTACAATATTAGTATTAGTATAATGCCTGGAAGAGATCTTTTTTAGCAATAAGGTCGCCCGTTATGACTTCTATATGTATTATTTATTATTGAGTTTTTTTTTATCTTTTAGTTATAATATTAGTATTACAAGAATTTAGCTTGGAAAATATCGCTTTTTAGTGAAAAGCCCGCCCGTTACCTTTGTCTTGCTCATTATTGTTTTTTTTTTATTTTCCAGTTAGTTTTTATACTTAGATTGTGGAATGAACTACCTACCGAGGTTTTCTAGAGAGATTATAACATAGGGTTTTTCAGGAAGGGTTAATGTTTCTTAAGGGTCGTCAACGCGCACGTGACACCTCAATACCCGCCGAGGTTTTTCGAAAGACTACAAAATGGGGTTTTTCGGGAAGGGTTAAGAGTCAACGCGTAGATAAAAACTTTGATTATTTCAGCCGTCCATAGGTAGCCTATGGACCGTAACCCATAGTTAACCGTTAGACCATAGGTAACCGTTTACTATCACATGGGCTGTATGATTGTTTGCCAACATTGTAGTATAAAAAATGTTCTGTACAACAAGTCGTTTAAGTTGTTTATTCAAACGCGTCAGTATTTATAGGCGTATCGATCAAATTTGATTTGCTCCTAATTCAATATTGTTCAGCGGTAATTACAGGCTCCATCGATTCGCCACACAAAGTCACATACTGGCATATAGAACAGCGGATTTTATATTCGACGACTTTATAGAAAGTCGTAAATATATAGTTATAGATTAAAGTTGCAAACTCTTTTTTTTTTTTAAATCGTAAACAGAAGAATGAATCGGTTCAATAGATAAAATAGGTTGAACCCTGTCATTGTTACGGGGTTTCTGTGGGTGCTGAGGTCGGTGGTGCCAAAGATGATGTTAAATAAAACACGCAAGAGAAATACGTATAATCCAAACTAATGTTATAGTATTTTCAATACTAAATGACAGTACAATTAAATTAATGAAATTTGTGCGTGAATTACGATATAGGTTATCTTTAATTTAAAAAACGCAACCTAATTCGCGGCATAGCTAGTGTAGTGTATAAAACATATAATTAATCTAATTTAATAGAAAAGAAAAAAATATTTAAATTGCACAATTAAAATGTTTTTAAATAATTTGCACCGCCTTATACTTTCTATTTAACGCGACGGTTGATTGGTAGAAAATGTTATCAGGCATTACAATATGTACTAAATAATAAAAAAAAGCGAATAAGCGAATAAGTAAAGGAAAGTGTAAATTCACCATAATAGTAAAGTGTACTTACGGTTAGCAAAATTCTAACTAATATTATAAATACGAAAGTACTAGACAACTTTTTATTGCGAAAAAAGGGTAGTAAAGGGTTGAAATGGGGGATGAAAGTTTGTATGACATTTAAAGTTTATAAAAATGTTACCCAAGGTGGTAAAATAAAATAGGGGATGAAAGTATGGAAATTTTTGAAGCCAGAAGACTGACACTTATTTCTTTGCGATAGATTATTTAATATTTTATCTTTATTTGGTCAAGGTCACTATAAAACGTAGACGAAGTTACGGGCACAGCTAGTAATATAAATATATAATTACATACGTATTTCAAAATGTGAGTAAGTTCTATTTACCAGTTGCCCAAATGCCAGAGATCGAACCCTTAAATAGGGGTTAAAGGATATATTAATTATGTTCGACGAACAATGTTGTTCTGTGTCTCGATTGTTACGTAAAAAGAGCCATTTGTCTTCGTCAGGGGGCTTTAAACTATGTTCAGTAAGATTGAAAGGAGTAAACGACGCATTCATAAATAATCTAAAACTTCCGTTTGCCGCGCGTGTAATTTAGGCCACGCGGAGAGTAATAACAGGGTTCATTTTCTGGTGAACAATAAACCCTGGTGAGTCTCGCTCTCAGTGTGTCATAATCTAGCTCTTTACTACTACGACTTATGCTGTATAGTTTGAGTTCCAAGCTGATACCAATAAACTTTGTTTTTTTATAATTAGACCTACTTCTGGTGCAAACTTGATTAATCTCATAGACTTTAAAGACTAGTGATCGCGGATGGTCAAATTTTGATCATAATTATAATATTAATTTAAATTATAAGTTTAAACATTAGGTTCTATATTATTCATCGCACCGCTCGCTATCGACGAGGAATTCATTCCCTCACACTAGGACCTAAGTCTCGGACAGTGCGGTTTTAGAACTTCCCGCACACTTAGATTGTGGAATGAACTACCTGCCGAGGTTTTCTCAGGAGACTACAGCATGGGGTTTTTCAAGAAGAGTATATTAAGGTTTCTCAGGCTCTCATATACGGTAACTATTTACTATGACAGATGTACGGCCATATGCCTGTTTGCCACCGTCGTAGTATAAAACAAAAATTTCAAACACTATAACTTCCACGTGTGTGTGTCTAATACATGGTACTGAGCACAATGGTTATTTATTGATTGGAATATTGCTGTTTGTAATATATATATTAATAAAATAAAAAAATAATACAATCGATTGTATGCTAAATATTGATTGATGACACCGCGGAATGTTCGAGAAGAAGTCTGTATAAATTCATAAAAAGAAACAAAATAATATCGATGTTCTATGCGTGACGTTCTATTTTCAAATTGAATAATTTTATTTTTAAAACACATTAATAGGCTATTTATAATCAACAAACACATTGATAGAATCAATTTCAACTTTATCCAAATAAATACAGGGGTCTAGGCTCCGAATATGATTTTGTCCCATTCGGTGTCGAGACCCTTGCTCCGTGGGGTCCTAGCGCTATAAGACTTTTCAAAGAAATAACGAAAAGGTTAGTCGACATCACAGAAGACCGAAGAGCTGGCAGCTACCTTGGACGAAGAATTAGTCCAGCTATTCAAAGAGGGAACGCTGCCAGTATCTTCGGAACGTTGCCTAAAGGGACCCCTTTTAACAATATATTTTAGTCATCATATTATTATTTTTTTAAGCTTTTTAATTTTAGGTTCTTATTTATTCTTAAATTGTATGTTATAATGTTGTTAAAAATTCAATGTGCATTCGATGTTTAAAAATAATAAGTAATAATTACTGTTAAGAGTATAAATTAAAAAAAACCCAACCAACATGAAGGCACAGAGAAATCCTTTCGTCGAATTTACGATCGTGGATTTATTGGGAAAACCTGCCCAAATCCGCCCGGGGAAACAATATTAAAATCCCCGAAACAATCGTATACAGAATCGTAAATGCATGAGAATATATCTTGTGAAAAAAAAACATTTAAATAATTGAGATCAAAGGGCTATCGAAGGAATTTTATGTGGAGTGATTTGAAAACTTGCTTCTTGTTCTATTATTTACGAACAAACAAGAAATGTTGTTATTTGTACATTTTTCATTACTGTAATCTAAATATATATAACTCAAAGGTGACTGACATAGTGATCTATCAACGCACAGCCTAAACCACTGGACGGATCGGGTTGAAATTTGGCATGCAGGTAGATGATATGACGTAGGCATCCGCTAAGAAAGGATTTTGATTAATTCTACCCCCAAGGGGATAAAAGTTTGTATGAAACTTTGTCAATTTTAAATCGATGGGGTTGAGACTTTGTATGCATAAAGCTACTATGACGTAGGCATCCCCTAAGAAAGGATTTTGATAAATTCCACTCCTAAGGAGATAAATTAACGCGAGCGAAGCCGCGGGCAAAAGCTAGCTAGAACTAAACAACGCCCCAGTTTCGCTCGGGTGCTCATGACTTTATTAATTTTCTGTAGGGATTTTATTTAATAGTATTTATGCGCTTTAGAATAATCTACCTCTGAAATAGTGAAAGAGTTTCTTTTTTTATTGAGGGGTTTGTGCTATTGTCAGGTGCTAAACCTGTAGCACTGCGATCTACATAGATCCATTGTGCTCCCCGTTTTTCAAAGTTCGCTACCTAGACCCATCAGCAACAAGAATTGATAGATATTCTAAGGAGCGATGGTTTTTATATGCTCAGGATAGTGTATACTTTCCAAAGAAGATATTTCGTTTATACATGAGTGCTTTACAACCGCATAGGTGTTTACTCTTCAGTTTAGCAAAATCTGAAGAGTTTCTTAAGGCGGAAGATCGCACATGATGGGAGGGATTCGGAAAGACCTATGCCCAACAGTGAATACAGTCTGAAATCAATATTTAATAACATAAAATATAGTGGAGCCACTTACCTAAAAACAACACTAGTATCTTCGTTTTCTAAATGCACCGCATCAGTCAGAGACCAGTGGAGGACGACGCCGTCCCTCCCCTCGAGGGGTCCACTCACAACCATCGCCGGCAAGAACCTCTTCCTGTATCGCGACCTTCGAAACCCCACAGACCTCTCGTTCCTACGACGGAACCGCGGCCGGAAGTAATAACCGTCGTATTCACTCACATCACTAACTATTCCTGTCCTGAAATCATAAGGTTTGTAACTATCTGCGAGCCACTTTTTATGTTTGGACTGGTCTCCACGAGGGTGCTTGGGGATGAAGTAGGGGAGGGTCAGCTCGTCCCGGCAGGGTCGTTCCGCGAACGTCGTCGGCGTGAAGTTCCCTCTGATGAACGACCCCACGATAGAGTAGAGGACGTAGTCTTGCAGCGTCTCGTCTTCGAATTGTAGATGTACTGGAAAGAAAGAAATTTCATCTTGAGTGAAAATGATACTAAACACATCCTTCTTTAAAGCTAGCTAATTTTTAATGTTTAATATGCATTCTTAATAATATAAAAAATAAGTAAAAACATAAAGTAGTCTAGTATAGTAAGAATCGAATCGGCGACCATCGGATAAGCCGGTGTGCTAAACCGTTAGACTGTATTAAGTAATCTTACACCAGATACCATCATATGCCGAGGTGGACTTTGTATGTAATCATCTGTGTGGTTTTCTTCTTCTTGCCTAATTCAGCTGATGATAATAAAAAGTTTTTTCTTTATTTATTTTCTTCGGATTTATGTACACAATATGTGACGATGACAATATCTATACATATAAATAAAATTGGAGTGTCTGTTTGTAATGAAATAACCGTATTTTTACTACATGCATATGAATATAAATACGGTACATACACCAGAATAACACTTTTTACAATTTTTGTCTGTCTTTCTGTCTCTTTATTCCGGCTAATCTCTGAAATGGCTGGACCGATTTTGAAGGGACTATTATTGGCATGTAGTTGATGTAATAAGGAAGAACTTAGGCTACTTTTATTTTAGAAAAATTCTAATTAACTTTTTGGTTAAATTCGCGTGTAAAGCTTGTATATAATAATATATAGTAATATACAGTACATAACACAAGCTCTACTTAACTTGGTATTAGATGACGCTGTATGGATTGTCTAAGGTTATTATTATTAGTAATGCGCAGTTTTTCTTGTTTGTATTCGAACCTTGTATAAAATATGTATGGATATAGGCACGAAGTTATGAATAATCGATTAGTGGTTAGCTTACACTGTAAATAAATACGTTTGGGATTATAGCCTGTCACGTTTGGGATCTACATAATCCGTTGGAAAACGAACGTGTGTGGGAGGTTGCAAAGATATTTACCACGAAATATATAGACACCTGCACCTGCGACATATCAAAGCGAAAACTGTGTAAATTAGCTTGGGACTGGAATACGACGTGTCAATTGTCCAGGGGTAAGTTAGCTTTGAACTAGATGGCACTGTGTAATTGTCCAGGGGTAAATTACCTTCGGACTACATGGCAACGTGTCAATTGTGTAGGGGTAAATTAGCTGGTAACTAGATGGCGCTGTACGAATTGTCCAGGGATAAATTAGTTTGGAACTAGATGGCACCAGGTCAATTGTGCAGGGGTAACTTAGCTTGGGACTAGATGGCGCTGTGCCAATTGTTCAGGGGTAAATTAGTTTGGAACTAGATGACGCTGTATCAATTGTCCAGGGGTAAATTAGCTTGGGACTAGATGGGACCATGTCAATTGTCCAGGGGTAAATTAGCTTGGGACTAGATGGGACCATATCAATTGTCCAGGGATAAATTAGCTTGGGACTAGATGGGATCATGTCAATTGTCCAGGGGTAAATTAGCTTGGGACTAGATGGCACCATGTCAATTGTCCAGGTGTAAATTAGCTTGGGACTAGATGGGACCATGTCAATTGTCCAGGGATAAATTAGCTTGCGACTAGATGGGACCATGTCAATTGTCCAGGAGTAAATTAGCTTGGGACTAGATGGGACCATGTCAATTGTCCAGAGGTAAATTAGCTTGGGACTAGATGGGACCATGTCAATTGTCCAGGGGTAAATTAGCTTGGGACTAGATGGGACCATGTCAATTGTCCAGGGGTAAATTAGCTTGCGACTAGATGGGACCATGTCAATTGTCCAGGGGTAAATTAGCATGGGAGTAGATGGGACCATGTCAATTGTCCAGGGGTAAATTAGCTTGGGACTAGATGGGACCATGTCAATTGTCCAGGGGTAAATTAGCTTGGGACTAGATGGGACCATGTCAATTGTCCAGGGGTAAATTAGCTTGGGACTATTTATTTACATTTATTACATCTATTACATCACACATCTCAACACAATAAAAAAACGATGCCGACAGCTGATGGACTAGATGGCGGCATGTCAATTGTCCAGGGGTAAACTAGCCTGGAACTAGATGGCGCCGTGTCAATTGTCTAGGGGTAAATTACCTTGATACTAGATGGCGTCGTGTCAATTGTTCAGGGGTAATTTGCTATAAAATTATTCGTGTTAAGACCCGGTTAATAATTTAAATAAGGCACCATGTCAATTGCCCAGGGGTAAATTAGCTTGGAACAGATGGCGCCGTGTGAATTGTCCAGGGATATTATTATTTTGACGGCCTTAGTTTTAAGTTTAGTTACTTTATTAACCGTGGTCATGATATCGATTCATCGCACGTTGCAAACATTTGTATTCAAGAGTATTTATTGTTTGTATTGGCCGGGGAGTTTCCTATATATATTATGTATGTATTTATAATTTACTATTACAATTTTTAGTAATCGGTATCTAGGTTGATGTTTAAGATAAGGCAGTCATATTACGGAATATGGTGGTACTATATATATGTATGTATTTATATTATTACTTTTTTTTGTAATCTGTGTTATTACAAAACATCTTAGTTCTCAGGAATTAGAACGCATCAGACGTATTATGGACGTCACATATAACTTGTTCTTCACGTTATTGTTCTCATATCTGGGTAGTCTCAAAAGTTTCTGACCTCAACCCAAAAACTAGTGAACGTGGTTATACAGCTTTTGACAGTTACTCACATTTTCTTTCAGAAAACTTTCGGCCATTTTAGTTAACAGTCGTTTGACGTTTGAGTCAGTGGATGTGACTGTTTTTGTGTAAATAGGAAAAAAATATAGTATCGAGCTGTTACGATTGTTTTTGATTTTGAAAAGCAATACGCCTACGCAAATCGATGATGGGTTGTACTCCGTTTATGGGACTCTGTACCATCGTTTATGAGAGTGAAATTTTGGGCAACTGAATTTAAACGTGATCGTAAGAGCTTGGGAAACGCTGGATGTTGGAGATGTCCAAAAACTGCAACTACTGACGATAACATTGCTAAAGACCTAGACTCGTCCGGGACAAGAACTGATGGGACTGATGGGTTTTATCTCCTCAGGATAGAGTGTAAACTTTTCAAAAGAGATATTACGTTCATGCATGAGTGGGCTACAATCACATAGAATGTGTAGTGGCGTTTCTTCTCCAGTTTGGCAAAATTGACAGATTTTTGTTGTTCATAGGCCTAGGTTTGTTCATTTTGCAGTATTCTGTTAGGGCCCTAGTCATCATGCAATATGTTGCTTTTACTCAATAGCAATAGTCTATTTGAGTATTTGGTACCAAATGTATACATTGAACCCAAAAAATTTGCCAAACACTAGTCTACGCCATTATACGTAATTTGAGAATCTTTTTAGCACCTGTACATATTAACGTTTCTCATAACCTTGATCACCGATCACAAACACCCTATTTCCGGAAACACTGAATACAACCGGTAAAAGAGGGGCGCCCTAAAAACGTCCGCTGGAGCGGCCAATATCCGGACCCCGGCGAAAACAAGACCAGGCGGATAGGGGACGATTGAGGACAGTGGAACAGGGTTGCTGCACGATGAACTTCGTAGGGATTCGGGATTTTAACTAACTGATGTTGTAGTAAATTTATAAGTAACACTAAGCTATTATAGTGTTGCAGATATTGTATACCAAGGATAGATCTTTTTTTAAGTGCACCGGCATTATACAACAGATGTGTAGTCTTAAATTTAAGTCCATTAGCTCAAATTTAAAACACTCCAATCTGCAGTATAATAGCGGAGTGTGTTTTATTGTATTTATGTCATTCTTTACTTTTATAGTAGCTGAGATGAAGTTAAAGAAATTTAATCTATTCAAAAGAGAGAAAATATATATGTCCCACTGAATTGTTGCACACTTATACATAAAATCAATTACTAAATTTTTGTAATATACAAACATACATGCATATGTATACATGCACATACTTTTATATATGGTATATATACACACACAGTAATATATATCATAATGAATCAACAAGATCAATTGCATTACAATACGTATACAAATTCCTCGTTGGCAATATAGCCGATACTCAAGAAGGACATTCTCCGTTCAGAGAAACTAGTCTTGTATATCAAACAAATCTAATGTGATATTGACATGGCATAAAAAAAATTGGATGCACGACATCAAATGAGGTGGGTGGAGAAGGTACCTAAATGTGCTAAGAGAAGAATTCAACACCCCTAACCCTGAGGTCATTGTACAAGACTTTCGAGCATTGTTATACGACATTTCCCAAGGTTGGCAGCCCTGAAACGTATCGTTCTCCGAGATTTCGACAAAATGCCGTCCGGCGCGGCGGCGTCAGGAGTTTTCACTGATGACCTGTCACCACGGCATTTCTCGAGGAATGTCGCAGAAATAGAATTTTGATTTATGAATATTGGCAACGGGCGCGCGTGAAGTGCGGGCCTGAATATTTCATCGTCTGATGTTTATTTGGCCCCTTGTAATTGATGTTTCGTGTCGTAAATTTATGTTGTATTATAAATCAAAATGAATATTAAATTTTACTTCAAGGTTATAATTTATATTTGATACTAAGTCGCAGTAATGAACAAGTCCGGAAACAATTTTGTCATAAAATAAACGTTAATATGAGAATAAACGTTTTTTTTTTTTAATTTAAAGGGAATGGCTTACAGTCTATACAACGGGTTTGTTATATAGCTTGGTCCCAAGTACGATTCCTGGTATGCTGCAAACATTTGTATTCATGAGTATGATTGTTTGTATTGGTCTGTGTGTTTTCTGTGTACTACTATACTATTTTAGGTATGAATTTATAGAAAAAAAGTGTTTAAGTATATATAATTAGATTTTTTATTTTTATTTATTTATTTATTTAATTAACACAATATAAATTTACAGCTAATTGCCAACACGTTTATATTTTAAAACTATTTATACTACTTAAAATTATACGATGATAAAAATATTCTTATTTTATTGATTATGGAAGACAAGGCTTCTGTATATACGTCAGCATCTTG